TAGAAATGGAGGTACCAAAGGAAGCATAGAAAAAAGATCAGTTTTATATGAGTATTATTTTTATCGCTATCATAGATAACATTGTCTGTTTCATGCTCTGTGCAGGGCACCATGTATTCATTATCTCATTTGATTCCCATGAGGTAGGGATCAGGAGACCACATTTTACAGGTGTAGAAACTGAGGTTTGGAGACACCATTCTGCATTACACAGTGAACAGGGGTTTGAGACAGGATTACAACCAAAACTGGGTACAGCACAGAGCCTGCACTACCTGCTTCCATGTAGACCATGTTTCAGGCAGGAAACTCAGACGGTAACTCACTCAACCTATTTGTTTCTTCATGTAGGAATAGAAAGCCCCAGAAAGGAATAAGGAATTGCCCAGGGTCTTGCTATGACCCAGTGTCAAAGCCAATGCCCCTCAATGTCAGGTCAAGGCCCTTTGTGTTGAGAGAAGGGGTGATGGGGGCTTGAGGCAGAGGTGGAAAAACAAACAATGGACAAAATCAGAGTGCCTGCTTTCTCTTCACACCAGCTTTGTTTGGTGGCCCTATTCCCTTCCTCCAGTATGATTTCTAGACCTGCAGTGGGCCTATCCCACCCACTCCTACTACAATCTGGCTTCCTTGGGAATGTTTAAGACACCCCAGACCCTAATCTGCCATGAAACTTTAAACAGGACTGTCATTTGGGTTTAGGAAGGGGGAGAAGAAACTGGAGGCTGGGAAGAAGACACCTCTAGTCACCCAGCTCTACCATTTCTTTGCAGAGATCACTAAGAGGAGAAGAACGTAGAACTGAGAAGACAGCACCCATGCCTGTGGGTCTGCCCTAACCTCCCCATGGTTCTCCACTACTCTGAGGCCAAAGTGCTCTCCACAGCCTGCACAGGTCTGCCTGACCTCTCCACAGTGTTGTTCATGGAGTCCCCCCTGAGTCTCAGCTCCAGCCACACTGGTCCTCACTGACTTCCTCAAATGGGACACATTTGCTCATTCTTCAGGTCTTTGCAGAAGCGGGTCCTGCAACCTGGAATGCTCTCGTGCACCACCGCCTACCCCGAACCCAGTCCTCCACAATCACTTCATGTACCCAGCCTTCAAGGACTCAGCTTAAATGTCACTTCTGCAGGGAAGCTTTCTCTGATCCGACAAAGCTCCTGTTACACACTTTCAACCCACTGGCCTGGACTTCATAGTGCTTCGCACAATCTGACTTATTTGTGTACTTGTTTCATAAATATCCATCCTCTGCATAAGTCTGTCAACTCCATAAAGATAAAGACCTTGTCCTTTTATCACACTCTTCACTTCTCAGGGCATAGTACAGTGCTCAGCACAGAGTGGGCACTCGGAAATACTTAATGAAGGAATGCAGGACCAAGAGCTTCCAGCTCAGCAGGTCTCCTGTAAGGAGAACAGTGACATCTAGTGACTGCTTTCACACTCTTGGGATTCTTTGATCACACACCTCTAACTGGCCTCAGAAAGACCTCATCGGGTTTCCAAAAAATTAAATATTTCGACGATGCTGAGGAAAACTGGCATAGAATCCAGACAAAGGGGAATCTGGTTCCTGAGCAAAGGGGAAAAGAGCAACCTCCCTCCCTGCTGCCACACATGTGCCAGGAACACATTGCAAAAGCCCCATGACAGCCTGCAGATGAGGAACGTGTGGCCCAGAAAGGCAGTCTTTGGGGTAGATTCACATAGCAGTAGACGAGGATGTTCACAGCCTTATTTACCATGTCCTGGAGGGCTGCCTAACAGCTTCCTGTGTGCTGTTTTACTGTCCTCACTGACACAGCCCTAGTCAGACACCCTCGTTATTCACTGCGAGCTGCAACAGCCTCTCAGGATCACCCCGAGTCTGCTCTTACATTCCTGCCATCTAGTCTCACCCTGCAGCCAGAGGTGTGGAGAGATCTACGTATTTTGTTGCTGTTGCTGTTAGTTCGGGGACCACTGATGCACAGAATTAGACTATTTGCCATACTTGGTTCAAGTCTCAAGCTCTTGGGTGTGCCATCCTAGGTTAGGCTTTATTTATTAGGTTAGTTAGTTAACTAGTTAGTTAGTTTTAATACTTCAATAAACTCCCACAAATCCACCACCAAAAATGCCAACGAGGAACTTGACTACCTACACGAAACTTCCTCCCCAACTTAACATTATCATCATCCTGAATCCTATGTACATCATTTCCTTGTTTCCCTTTTCATAAAGTTTTATCACATCTGTATTTATTCCT